GACAAATTACAACATAATTTTAAAAATATAAACTGTCTTTTATTTGGTTCCACAACCTACAGTCTTGACGTTAACACTAATATTTTTAACCAGGTCCATAAGTTTATAGATATGTCAAACAGATTTTAAACTCGATCAATTAATATTTATCGTCTATTTTATGTATAATTTTGGTTAATCTCTCTAATGTTGCCTATTATTAAAAATTCTTACTATAGTTGTATATGTATAATTATTAATTACTATATATACTGTACATTTTCACCCATTATATTTTATTTTGCTTATATAATAGGTATGTGTTTGCCATTATAACTATGTATATACACACATTTTTGTATTAATGATATATATACAAATTATTTAGGGAGAGGGGTTTTATATGGAAGCCTATAACTACCATTCATAATTTCTACTTTTCGCCTCTTCAGAACACGAAAGTCGAAAAGTCGAAAAGTAGAAGTTACGACAAAATGTGAGGCGACAAGACGGTATACAAGCCAAAATCAACTCGAAAATAGGAAATTAAGAATTTGCTCAACTTTCAATCACTGTTTATGAGAAATATCTTTGATGCAGAAACACAAAACTTTGCACATAGTTTCTTATTGATGTATTTGATGCATTAAAACAACAAAATTATTATAAAGGGCTATATTTTAGTTACAATAAGGTGAACAAGTTTGAGTAAATTTGTGAACTCAGGGCCTGAATCTTCAAACACTTGAGAAAACTATTATAGATGGGTGACCAGATCACAGACATGAATGCCCTTCAGACATATTAAAATACTGGCTTATCCGTGAAGATCTATCAGTAGAAGTTGGCTTAATCTACAAATGTGATCGATTAGAGTTATGCTTAATTATTTATATTTTTTATATATACTCTTAAAGAAAAGTAGGGGATATTGAAATGCAAATACCTATACAGGTTGTGATATGACACTTGACATGCTTTGAGACTATGTTCACAGATGAAAATTTATCGCCCCAACAGAACCACTGAGCTGCACGTGCGACACACAATAGCGCCATACATGTGGGAGGGGTTCATTGTAAAATTTGACACTACAAGGAAGGGTTGATGAAAACTGCCGCGTGCTGTTTGCTTTCCTATCGGTTCTTGCATAAGGTTTACTGTTTAGCGTATCTTTGCTTTAGTGTGTTACGTTTAATTTGCGATGAGACGTCTTCAACATGATGAACGTCTACCTGCTATCGGCATGCTTTAAATGGGTTCTACACAGCGAGCAGTAGCCAACATGCTTAATGTGCCAGAGTCTGTGATCAGCAGACTGTGGGGAACCGGTGCCAACAAACACACAATGTTGATGATAGACCTCGTTCAGGTCGTCCTAGGGCCACTACACAAGCCAAGGATTGATACATTCGTACACAGGTCCTGCGAAATCGAGGACAAACGGCCAATCAGCTTTCTGTAAACTTGTACCAATTTACAGAATTCGAGTTACACCCCAAACGATTAGAAATCGGCTACATGCAAGCCCATTTGCATGCGCGACGACCGCGTGTTGTGTCTCCATTAACTCACCAGCACATGGCAAACAGGCGTCAATGGTGTAGGCAGCGTAGAAATTGGGGTAATCGTCGATGGGCGCGTGTAATGTTCTCAGATTTACTCTGGATTTCACCGATAGGCGCGCTCGCGTTTGAAGGCGTGTAAATGAGCGTCATGCTAACGTTAACGTCAGACAGCATGACAGATTCGGCCGGGGGTCTGTTATGGTGTGGGGAGGAATCACCATGACTGGCAGAACGGACTTACATATTGTTCAAGGAAGGGTCACTGGTGTGTACTACAGTGACCATATCCTGGCACCGATAGTTCTGCCCTTTGCTCAACGTGCAGGTCGACGTTTCATCTTTCAAAGTGATAATGCCCGTGCCCACCGCGCTCCTGTCGTGAATGACTACCTCCAGCGTCATAATATTGTTCATATGCCTTGGGCAGCCATGAGTCCTGACCTTTCCCCTATAGAGCATGTCTGGGACATGGTCGGGAGACGTGTTCGTCGACGTCAACGTCAACCGACAACACTGCAAGAATTGGCCGTGGCACTGCATGTCACGACGAATTGCTGAATTTCTGGGGACTGGTGGAGCAATTACTCAATATTAAGACAAAAATCACAAACGTCCATTTTCACTTTTGACAGCGTATCTCTTTGCGAGTGAAATGGGGCCGTCAAATAAGCCGCCCATATGAACTGTTTATGTTCATGTGTAGGCAATTGACCTGTTATTAACATACACTGGTTATCTCTAATAAAAACAGCAGTGCATTTCCGCAGTTTTGCATTGTTTGTGAATATTCCCTACTTTTTTTTTGAAGAGCATTATAATATGATTTAGAGAGTGTTCACATTCGCTGATGGCAATATTGTGCCTATTTTCAATCATCTAGGCCTTGGTCCAATTAGTGATGACGCCAAACGGAATAATATACATTAAGGTCAAAAAGAACTGCGAATCATAAAAAAAACTCGCCTACCTCTCTTAATGTGGCGTGCTAAGACTAATGCGATGATTTAAAAGCTTTTGACCCGATTGAAGGCTTTCTACAATTCCCTTTCCACACTTAAATACAACAACAAATGTGAAATCTTCTGAAATCTCGATCAAAACTATCGCTCCTGTTATCTATAAGTATTGGCAATGGGTCGCACACTAAGCAGTGTTCGAGAACTCCTGATGCCACTTCTTACTCGTGGAATTAACATACCTAACTAACTTTCTATTATAATTCTCGATTACTTGAATAATACCAAAAATAATTTACCATTGTACGCAACAGGTTTCATTATTTTGAGAAAACAAATAATTAATCAACATTTTCCTGTTATCTCATTTTACTGGTTTCATTTATATTTATCTATTGTGCTTCTAGCATGATGTATTGTGTCCAACTGTAGTCCTTTGAACAAAGTGACTGTGGCGATAAGTCGATAACAATCAATGGATAATATCGCAAGTCTATTTTGTCGTATGATTGCGCTAATAATGTCGTGTTGTCGTGCTATGCAAAGATTTTACATGGCCACTATCAGTCACTATATTGTGGACTACTGGTTTTACAGTTTAGTTCACTCGATTCAGTCGTCTGGGGGAGTCACTTAAACTAAACTCTGCATCATTATCGTTATCCAACAGCTAAATGGTATACAACGCCTAGCAAGTTTCGTTATAGTAGTAGTAATGGTAGCAGTGATGTTTTTAAAGAGTCACTGCCAACTTTGTTGACCTTGTGATACCGAGCGCCATGGAAAACGCATCACTTTTTTTCCCAAATATTTTATTACGAGGTGGTTTTGTATGTATAATATTATGGAATACTATGAACTATTGTTTCACACAATGCTCCCAAACGCAAAAAATTATCGGCCCGTGTGCAAAAAAAAAATGTACGAGATGCACATGAAAAGCCCAATATTCACGTGCAGCATTGTGTGTGAGCCCTTTAAAAGCATGTTTTCAACTTAATGTGCAGTACATGAACTGTGAAACGTCAATCTGTCGTAATTTGTTGTTGGACGTGTGAAGGAATCGAGCTAGAGATGCCGAGCCTTACTGAAAATCAACGGAATGAAGCCATGGGAATGTCCAGAGCTGGCATGTCTACACGTGCTATTGCCAGACATTCAATTGTCATCAGTCCACTATTGTAAGGTTGGTGGAACGTGTTCGAGTTACTGGATCAACACGTGACCGTCAACGTCCTGGTCCACAACGCGTTACAACCCAGGCCGCTACATCCGGGTCACTCATCTGCGTGACAGATTCCGCCCAGCGACTCAAACAGGTGCAGCAGTCGTCGGAAGACAAGGACCAGTAAGTGCCAACACCGTAAGACGTCGTCTAAGAGAAGTAGGACTCCGTGCACGACGACCTTATGTTGGAGCTATCCTCAGGGATCATCACCGTCAGCGGCGTTTGATATGGGCTCAAGGACACCAGACATGGAGAAAAGTAGACTGGCAAAGTGTGTTCTTCAGTGATGAGAGTCGCTTTCATCTTTATCACGCCTATGGCCGTCAACGTGTGTGGAAACGTCTTGGGGAACGTCTTGCAGACTGCTGCGATTCGATGGGGTGGGGGAAGTGTAATGGTGTGGGGAGGCTTCAATTTCATCACCGGACCGCCCTACACATTTGCAGGGGTCGCGTTAATGTTGTAGCCTACCGTGATGATGTCTTGCCGTCTGTATCTGAGACCACAGATGCACACCATTGCTGCTTTAGAAGCTGCTCTTGTCCAAGAAGAATGGAACAATTTGCCCCAGACCTTCTTTCAAACATTGGTTAATTCCATGCGACGTCGCTGCACAGCGTGCGTAAGAGCCCGTGGAGGACAAACGCGCTACTGACATCTGTGTCGTACTTTTGGTTTTGACCCCTCTGACTTTGTACCGTTGATTACAGATTAAACATCCATAAGTGTACAAATGTGTTGTTATTGATGTGTTTCCATTTGAATATTGTTCACAATAAGAAGCAAAATTAATAAGATATGTTTTCAGGATCATTTTGTTATACGAAAAACTAAGTGATGCGTTTTCCATGGCGCTCATTATATATACAACTTTGCCATGTAAATTTAGTTTTAAAATGACACCTCTTTCTAAAGTCTTCGACAAAAGAATTATTTAGTGAAAACTATATGTAACTATATTTATACGTAATTTCTGTAAAGCTCGAATAAATTAGAAATCTAATCTCTATCGTGTTCACAAGCTCGGAAAAAACTATCGCGCTCACCATGTTTTCGCAAAATGGCGACATAACTCTAAAAATATAAATCCGATTTTGCCGACTACAAATGGGGATCCTCGTCTTGGCATAATACAGTCTGTCATATTTGTACGCATAACATCATGTGTGTCGCCGTGGTAAAGTTCCAATATCCTGCAATTCCCCTTTAGTCTTTAGGCAGTATTGCTATCGGTATACACATTAACTTGTATGTGCTCAATTTTTATAGTGCTGTTGATGAAACGATAACATGTATAAAGAATGTCAGTGATAGTTGTGATCCTATAGCAGCTGCAGATGTTATACAGAGTATGAACGGTGCCATTTTACAGTATACACAATCACCACACAACTGCACATTAGGTAAATCATCACTTCTATATATATCCCATTGTTAGGCATTCCGAAATACATGTTAAAGCTATCACTTCGTGGAGCTGTAATAGTAAGTGTGTTGTGCTTGATGCAGGTGATGTATGCTGAGACAAGTTTTACGATCGTCACCAGAAGAAAAAAAAAAGTTTGATCAAACATGTTATTATACACTGAAAAAAAAACTTGTGTTGAAACAACGCAAACTTGTGTTGTTTTCAACACAAGTTAGGTGTCTCTATTTAACAACATAAAGTTGTGTTGAAACAACACAAACTTGTGTTGAAACTTGTGTGAAAATCTATACAATATTTGGGATGAAATTTCTGAAACTTGTGTGGTTTCATACACACTTGTGTATAACCATCAACAAAAACTTGTGTTGTATTTTCCCCCAATTTATATCTAGTATAGCAACCTTTCCCATGCAGCACCTTTACGTTTGCTCTGTTTAACCTGTAAAGTTTGATAAATGAGGTAACAATATTTTTTGGTTAAATTATTATTTATTCATAAAATGATAGGAAAAAGTAAATTAATGCGGCCAAATCAAAACTAAATAGACATTTGGAATACTAACAGAAAAACAGAGAAATAATTCTAATACAAATAAAATTATGTTATATAATGACCCCCCTCCCCCTTTCCCAATCACAAAATATAAAATAGCTATTCAAATTTTTCTTTACCCTAAAACAAGAACTGAGAATATAAGGATATGTACACAATATCCCTACCCCATGGTACCCTGCCCTTTTCTAGTCTATTCATTTTTAAATGATAGATATGTAACTGCTCTCTGGTCACTTTCAGCTATCAGTGCATTCCTTAGTTAATCCAGTTCATAAGATGATAAAGGCAAGTGATTTAGTGATAGTAGTTTCTGTTTATAGTTTATTCTATTTTCTTGATGAAGATTGGTGTATTGAATGTCAAATTAAAAAGAAATTTTTATGAGATAAATTGCTCATGATACGAAAATTGTGTATAATCAGACTTTTGTCTCTTTCATTATCATGTATTTTAAAGGGTTTTACGTTGGAATTTGGAATGCTAGAGGCGCCCTAAACAGCGTTCTCGGAATTTCCAAATTTCAAAATTTTCTAGAGGCCGTGGGGAGACTCCCCCACCCGGACCCCCACATCTTTTGGTACCCTGGCCCTCGCGCCGTTCCGGTGCCCCTGCCCTACCCAAAAATATATAATTCAAATATATCTAAATTTAAATAAATCCAAACCAAGCACTAATAATATTAATTATGCACTAAACTGAAATACTTTCAAAAACTGAAAAGTGCTACAAGGTCATATTACAAGGGATTTGTGGTACATCTAGAAATAACTAGCATACACAGAAAACTAACAAAAGAAAAATGCACTATTTTGCAGGAGTAATAAAATGACGTAGAATCCATTCCTCATTTAAAAAAACCCAAACAAAATGAATATTTTGTATATAAAAGGAGCAAAGCATCAAAATTACAGGATTGCAATAAAAAAAAATATCTGAGAAAATGGCAAATATTAAATAATATGTACAAAATATTTATATACAATCATAAGTCATAAGCAAGAGGGGGGGGGGGCACAGTGGTTCAGTGAGTATAAGACGTTGGCCGAGAAATTTAATCCCGATTTTCCGGCATAGTTCCCCCATGTCAGTAGTGTAGGACATGGCAAGAGAAAATTGGGTACAACCCCGGAATCGAAACCACCCCCATTGCGTTCACTTTAAAGAATCCTTGACAATTGAATTATTTGACTCGGTGACAGACCTTGTGATCCAATGTGCGCGTGTTAACCATTCGGTCCTCTTGGGTTCCCTTTAAAGAACCTTTGACAGTTAAAATATTTGTTATAAGAGTAGCTTGTAGGGCAGAATCACCCTAATAACACAGAAAAGTAGGATATTAAACTCTATTTCATTACATAAGCAAGGGAAAGTCACCTTAATGTAGGTCAAGGTTGTTTGTAATTTTGGGTGTATTTGATCCACATTTGGTTTCTAGATAATGCCTATTAAATACTTTATGATTTCCGACCAAATTCTAAGTGATTTATATGTCAATTTACTTTCTATATTATACATAAATTTCTGAAGAGAATTAAAATCTAATTGCGTTTGCTTGGGTTCTCTTGTTGTTATCATACAATTTTGCCCTGCACCGCGACACTAAGGCCTACTCTTATATCAAATTGCAACTTCCAGGGGATCTTTTATATGCATGCCAATGTGTACAAGGAACCAGTTTTTTTGTTCAATCTGAACGACTAGTCCTTGTGATGCCCTTCGCCCAGAATTTTCTTCTTATCCAACCCGCGACCTTAAAATATGCGAGCCCGTAAGATTCTATCTGTGCACATACATGTACCTGTACAGTTTTACTAAATAATTCAAAATAATAAAATGAAATAGAGGTTTATGTCACATCAGCTCAAACCGGGCTATATTGTGCCAAACACATTATGGTGAGATTCCAAAATACCGTAACAACAATCTTTTCTATTAGAATTGAACACTCACCCCCAAAAAACACCTATGAGAAATCATAGGTCCTCCAATCATCATTTCTGCAGCTCTTTCTTCTCCCAATTTTTTTTTTTTTTTAATTATTTTATTATATGATGTTTGATTTGGTAACTGAAAAAAATGAATAAGTGACATGTAATTAAGTGTTTAAGATACCTTACCATATACAAACTGTGTGATATGAAATTGAAACTAAAACATCTATCTAAACGGAATTTTAGATTTCAAAATAATGAAATGAAATGGAGTTTTATGTCACATCAGCTCCAACCGGGCTATATTGTGCCAAAATACCATTACAACAATCTTTTCTATTAGAATTGAACACGTACCCCGCAAAAACACCAATCAGAAATCATAGGTGCTCGAATCATTATTTCTTCAGCTCATTCTTCTCCCATTTTTTGGTTTTTTGACTTATTTTATTATATGATCTTTGATTTGCTATGGCATCTAATATACAAACTGTGTGATATGAAATTAAAACTAAAATATCTATCTAAAACCATTTGAATCCTTAACTTAAGATCTTACCTAAGCTGTGAAAATCTGTTTTAATAACCCTTGTTTGCCATGTGACTGGACTGTCAGGGTAATTAGAAGAGAGCCATGTGGATTCCCTGTCTAGTCGTTTCGATGGAACAAAAAAACGAGGTCCTATGTACACGTGTATGTAATCGATCCCATGATAGTTGGAATTTGTAGGCTGTAGCACCCATGTCACAGTTCGACTGCCAGTTTGTGATACTCTTACATTTTTGGTCTGTGCATGCCCCATCGTTGTTTTTTAGGGAATCAAGTTTTTTTTCAAGTAAAGCGGTGGACACACTACCCGAATGATGCGGCCGAATCGTTTGTCCAAATCAAATGGCGCAGAATTGAAGCCGGATGAGTTTCGGCTGAATGAGTGGACACTCTAGACGATTGCATCACCTTTCACGCCACATGATTGAACATATGTTTTTAAACAATCACGCGACTTCTCGATATGAATAATGAGTGGTGACTGGCTAATCAATTCTAAAATTAAACGAATGCTTCGGCGAAGCGGACACCCCAGTCAAATTCGGCCGAATATATAAAACATGTTTGATTCGGGCGAATGTCAGTGTCCAACGCTGAAGATTTAAGTCTTTACTTTCTTTATTTGCAAATATCATATTTGAAATAGGCCATACTGTTATGTGATTCCCCACTTGAATGTGATAGGAATAGGGTCGCTTGTAACGCCGTGTGGGTTTTCTCCGGGTCCTCCGGTTTCCTCCCTTTGCTAAATACCCTTTCGCGTAAGCAAATCATTCAAATAAAATTGGAACATATTTTAGTCTAGCGCCAGTAAGTATAAAAAAATCTATCCAACAAACACCAACAACAACTCTAGGTTTATGCAGAATTAATATAACACAACATACAAAGATGGTAATAGAATGAGACAGTGCTCAGGCAAAGGGCGGAAGCGGAAGAAGACTACCTGTCCTACTTGATTCTAGGACATGGATATAGCATGGACCTACTTGATCGACCAATTTAATACAAGGACATATATTGCATAGTTTTTGTCAAGTGAACCTTTAACTCCATTTCCGATCTCCCTCTCTCTCTACTGGATATTACTACCTAATAAATACTTTTCGTGGAACTGTATCTTTACATACAATAACAATTATTGAGCATTATTAAAAAGATATATATATACTATTCAAAAAAAGTAGGGGATATTTGATTTTGGGGGCATAATACTAAAATATGCAAATGACTACGAAAAAAGTCACTATAGAACCTAACAGAAGAAACATTTCCAGTTACATGTGACGCCCAAACGCACCAATAGCTACCGCATGGAATGCAGTTGATGCTTGGGATCATCATGGGGGTCCAACCCAAGATTTGCACGACTCTGACTTTGAATGTTACAGTCATTGTGGCATTGAATTCCAGGGTGGAAACATCAGTTTAATTGTTTTAGTGACCAGAAAACAAATTTTGATATGCGTCGGCTTACCCAAAATGAAAGGTTACGTGCCCTTGGCATGCTACAGATCGGCACAACACAGGCGGTTGTGGCGCGGACGATGAATGTTTCTCAGTCTGTCATAAGCAGGCTATGGTCCAGATACCGTGATACACAATCTGTACAGGACAGACCACGCTCAGGTCGACCAAGGGCGACAACTCAAGCCCAGGATCGATTTATCCGTACCTTGGCCTTGAGAAATCGTGTCATCACAGCAAATCAGATCAGCGCTCGTCTTCAAACAGACACTGGTGTGAGAGTGAGTGGCCAGACGATTCGGAATCGACTGCATAGGGGTCCTCGCGTGATCCCTTGTTTGAGAGATCATCACATTCAGGCAAGACGTCGTTGGTGTAGGGATCGTCAACACTGGGATAATCGACGCTGGAGCAATGTGATGTTTTCA